ACCATCACCAGTATCAAGCACAATACCAGTGGTACGGCCAGATGCGTACAGTGAGAGGACAGCCTGGATGTTGACATACATGGCTGGTGTGTTGAACGTTTCAAACATGATCTAAAAATCATTTTGTATCAAAACTGATTGGAGTGGATTTCGAAGTATCTTCCTTGCTCTTTTTAGCCATATAATTCAAACCGTGCCGCTACTTCCGTTCGCCAGATAGCGAATTTCGGGTATGGCATTTTTTCATTAGATTCACTGAAATAACTTCACAAACGAAGCTTTCAATGTTCCTAAGTGAAAATCAGTTTTCGAGTCATCATCTTACTTGAGTCATCTTCTCACGGTTGTTTTTCGGGTTGAGTGGTGCTTCAGTCAAAAGAACTGGATGTTCCTCAGGTGCTATTCTAAGCTCATTGTAGAAAGTATGATGCCAGATCTTCTCCATGTCGTCCCAGCTTGTCACGATACCGTGTTCGATCGGATATTTCAACGTGAGGATACCTCTCTTCGATTGTGCTTCATCACCAACATATGAATCCTGCAATTTCAATGTTTGTTTACTTCTAGTGAACCGCATAAATTAATTCGATCAAAATTCAGTCACAGCTGTCAAATGGAAACAATACAATATAATTTATTCACTACTGTTTACTATGCAGTTCATTTACACCAAAATTATCGCATCAATTGTTCCACTTTTCAGTCACCTATAAGATTTCGTTGTTGTTTGCACAAATATATCACTTTGCATGTATCACTGTTAAGCATTTTGCAACTTATAGTCATCGCGACGTGATCTTGTTTAATCGAGTGCCATTTGGTACTTCGTGACCGGTTGCATGAATCTCATTGGAAATAATTGTATTGTACTCAAGTTGATAAATACATCGATGTCAGTTACCTTTTGTCCCATGCCAACCATTACGCCTTGATGTCGAGGTCGTCCAACGATTGATGGGAATACAGCGCGAGGAGCATCGTCGCCAGCAAAACCCGCCTTGCACATACCGGATCCATTGTCAATCACCAACGCAGCAATATCTTCTTCACACATTGTCGACACCGCAGCAGTTTATGAAGAGAGCAGAGAAAAGCAGATGGAGATGGAATCACTCGAAGAGGACAATACCTTACGAGACGCATCATGATGCTTTTAAATGGTTTGAATAACGTTCAAGTAACGATTCCTGGAATTGGCGCATGCTATCTGCAGTTTCATTGGCTATNGGCTATTACCTCAGCCATATGTCCCTCTTTGAATGCTTATTGGCGAGACAGAATGTTGAGCATTATCAGTGATAACTGATAAAAACGTTGTGCGACAGCTACACCCACTGAGTATTGTACACAGTGCGTTTGCATACTCATGGCAATACCAGTGATTTAGTGCTCTTTGAGCACCACTCTATACGTATCGTAAAAATAGCGACTGGATGGTGCCTTGTAGGGAAGTTATCATCCTTTGGAGTGACGATTTCTTCTCTTGCAACTGATAAGTGATTGCTATACTTGGAATTGCTTCGTTTGCGTGGCTATTTTGAAACTGTTTATTGTTTCATTGCTCGTATTCAGTACTCAATGATGCATACCAATTGTTTGTGATACGTGCGTTTATGATATGCAAACAATCGAGAATTCTTTTGTTTTTTAGCATATTATCACTATTGATGCATAATAAAACGTATTATGATTATAAGTAAAGAACAATCGAGAAATTGATTTTGAGAATATATTCAATGATGCAGTCAAAATATATTCAATGTTATTCAAAATATTTATTTGGATTCACGAATTTATTGTCATTCTCAATCTTAATTTATCATTTACATGTGTCATATGCAAAATTTATGAATTTTAAGCACAATCTACGAAGTATACTAGAATAGCTTTTGACTGCAAAATCGTGTGCGTGAATGTACATTTAACCGTCATATCTCGGGAGTGTAATTCCCATCCGGAATAAACATACTGTACGAAAATATCGACCATAATCTCGCAGTCCCATTAAATATTCGTCGTAAACATTTTTCTTACAAAATTCCAATTCGAATCATTTCAGATCACGCAATTTCTCACGAATAAGTCGTGTGTTGTTTTTGACTGTTGAATTTTAAGCCAGCCTTTCTTCACAGTAGTTACGGCTTTTTCTTTCCATTTATCTCTATGAACAGATTCTGCCCATCAGAAATTTGCTGAAAAATTCACCAAGAAGTTCTGCACTTTTTTTGCTCCCAATTTATCAGTTCAGGTAGGTGCCAACCGTAAACGATTGTATCAGTTTCTTGAATCCAAAGGTAGTGAAATTTTGGTCACAAATCATCGGTCCATCAGAAAGAGAATAACTTCAGCAAATGTGTGTCTGCGTGCATTTGGCATACATCTACCAGCTTTCTTCGACAGCTTATTTCTTAACAAATTTAGTTTCAACAAAAATTTTCAAAAAATCAAAACTATCTCAGCAAAAATTTTTATTGCCAAACCAAACACTATGGTTAATAGCTACTATGACTTTGCCATAAAATTGAAAAAAACTCAACGCTTGTAATCTGAATAATCAGTGATTCGATATCTAAATTATGACACTTGGAAA